TGTTCACTATGGCAATTTTTAGCTTATTTTCGTCAAAAAAGACCCTCTAGCGCCTAAACGGTTAGAGATAGAGCAAAACGGATGAAATTTTCGCCCATGGGGCTCTACTTTGACGAGTTACCCCTTAGGAGACCATCCAATATTTTCGGAAATTAATAAATTTATTTTTGGGCCACTTTTGTGAGAGAAACTCCTTCCAGCGCCCAAACGGTGAGAGATAGAGCAAAACGGACGAAATTTTCGCCCAAAGGGCTCTACTTTCACGAGTTACCCCTTAGGAGATGATAAAAAAAAAATATTTTTTCCAACTTTTTTGGCCTTTCCTGTTTTCTTTGATACCCCCTTTTAGCCCTTTAGGGGTGGTTGCCAGAATTTGCCGTAGGCGTTTCGTTCTCTAGAAGTGGACCTTAAGATACCCTGAAAATTTCAAGTCTCTAGCACATCTCCTTCTAGTGGAACAGACAGACAGACACACAGACAGACACACAGACAGACACACAGACAGACAGACACGAGGTCGTTTGCATAAGCCCGCTGGATGGCTTTTTCAAAGCAGAAGGGCGGGCTAATAAATTCGGAGGAAATTTTTCAGTAAACTTTTTTTGTTCAGTTCTTCATTCTCTATCCAGTGGTGGTTTTGTAATCGATCTACGACGCATATTAACGGAGATTTGGCCGAATAACGAATCAAGGGCGAGAAAATTTGGAAAAACACTTATCTGGAGATATCTCTGAAACGAAACGAGATATCGGAAAATGAAAAATATCCAGAGAATCAGTAAGCCAAGGCCTACAAACTACCACTTGGGATGGAATTTTGGTGATGGTGAGGTCCAAAACCGTGTGACGTGAGATGGAATAGGCCGTTAACAAACATACGCCGTTCCCTTCACAGGTATGTCCCGACAGCCGCGCGGTCTAAGGCGTCAGGATCCGAACCCAAAGGTCCGAGGTTCGAATCCACCCAGGTAAGTTAGGGTAAATAACTATAATGTGTACAAAGTCGGGTTTGAACATCTGTCCGTAGGAACAAGAACTAAATATTTTCCAGTTTTGCGTTAGGCTAGAAAAGTAAAGCATTTTTGTCGTTTCATAACACGTTCTTAATTTTCAAAACATGTTCTTAATTTTCATAAAACATTTGTTCTTAAATTTAAGAGCAAATTTGTTTTGTAAATTGCTTCCAAACACGTGTTCTTAAAATTAAGATGGATTTTTTTTACCAGTGCAGACAGCGTACCAGAATTGTGGGTCGCGGCCTTAAGGTGCCCCCACAATGAACGGGTGGCGAGGAGCCGTGAGCCATGGGCCATGGGCCACGGGCCACGGGCGGCGCAGGGTCGCGCGGGGAGTTGATTTCGATCGGCTTATGTAAGGTGTCCTGACATGAAAGTGGGTGACCCCTTATATTTTTGGAAAGAGGATAGTGTGAGGATTGTTAATCTGTAAAAATATTATTGTGCCGGGGCTTCGTATTGGAGTAGGGAGAGTCGGAACGAGGAGGTCGAGTAGGGAGCCTCGGTAGGCCGTTTTAAAGTATTAAATTCTCATGAATGAAGACATCCTGGGCCCCAACATAATGCGAGTCGATTTTTTGCTCGAATTTTAGCTTTCCGTAGGTATTTTTGAAATTGTGGTGCGATATCTGGTTCTCGAGAAAAGGCGATCAATTTGCCCCGTTGTCACCAGTCATTCGGCTCCCTCCGCTCGTGCTGACTCGGGCCGGCTCGGCTCCGCGCTCGGCTCGGCTCGGGCCTCGGGCCTCGGTCGGGTTGGGTTTACCTTGGTCGTCAGTCGTCAGTCGGTCGGGTCTCGAGTCGAGTCCGAGTCGCCGAGTCGGAGGTCGAGGTGGCAGTGAGAAGCAGTGTTTGTTGTTGTCTGTGTCCTGTGTCGTCTTCATCACTTAATATTTAGTCAGTTTTCCACGAGTGTATCATGTCACGCCCATCCATCTCAAAAGTGCTGAGGTATTATTGTTTGTTGGATGCTGAGCTCAATAGCCAGGGGTGTCCTTTCACCGATTCGGAGCAAAGTAAGTTCATATCACGTACCTAAACATAACCTCAACGCTGGCTCAAACGGCGCTTGTAACACAAGTTTTCTTCTGTATTTTTATTAGGTACCATCAAGAGCATCATCGCTTACAACCTCCACAAGCGTTTCACAGCACACGCTAGACAACGCGCGCGGTTAGCTTGGACGAGGAGATCGAAGAGGTGGCATGTGAGGCCTATATTCCAAAACCGGGAGCTGTATGGGGCCTGGTTCACTCTGGTCCCCATAATGAGGGAGTACGACCAAGATGAATTTTATAGATTCTTCCGCATGACTCCTGACTGCTTCGACTGGCTTCTTGAGAAGGTGGGCCCTTTCATAAGGAAAAGATCCAACCGTAAAAGTGTCTCAGCAGGGGAGCGTCTGGCCATCACACTGAGGTAAGATGTTGTCCTTAATTTTCCCCTGTCATATGCTGTTCATATCCTCTTCTCTGTTACTCATGTTATTATGCTTTTCCTCTCCATCAGGTATTTGGCGTCTGGAGACAGTCAGTCTTCATTATCGTACCTGTTCCGCGTCTTCAATGAAGCTATCTCCAAAATCGTGACAGAGACCACAGCCGTCATCTGGTATACTTTGAAGCCACTAGTATTTGATGAAATCTCTGAAGACTTTTGGAGGCAAAAGGCTGCTGAATTTGAAGCAATGTGGCAGTTTCCTATGTGTGTTGGTGCTATT